GGCCTCGACCCCGTGAATCTCTGCATCTCTCGTTCTTGGAGGCCTTTTGGACTGGTTGAGGCACCCGCAGTGGCTCCCAGGGATGGCCTTTGAACCCTCCTTCCCCTGCCTGTGGCGGCCTGGGGGGTGGGGCGGGCAGGTGGAGCGCCGAGCCCGGCCAGGCCCTGGCTTCCTTCCGCTTGGTAAGAGCATGTGGTGCGTGCGCGTGGGGCGGCTGTGGCGTCAGGCTGGCTTGTCTCGGGGCCCAGGTCCGGGTTGATGGCTCCCAGTACGCCCACCTGTACGAGACCGTGCCTGTGGTGGATGGCAGCCCCATACTCCGGGACCTGCTCTTCAGCCCTGACCACCGGCACATCTACCTCCTGAGTGAGAAGCAGGTGGGCCCGAGGCGGGCGGCGGCGGGTGGCGGGCTGGGGGCAGGGCGCGTGCTGACGCGGCCGTCCCCAGGTGAGCCAGCTCCCGGTGGAGACGTGCGAGCAGTACGTGAGCTGCGCGGCCTGCCTCGGCTCGGGGGACCCCCACTGTGGTTGGTGTGTGCTGCAGCACAGGTGAGGGCGGCCGTGGGGGGCCCTGCTCCGCGCCCGTTTCTCCGCTCACGCCCTCGTGGCCTCATCCTCCGTCCCCTTGTACTTCACCCAGCCAACGAGCAGAACCTCTATCCCCAGGGACGCCCCTTGGGCCGCAGGGGACGAGGCCAAGGCACACTGTTGCCTGGCACGGTGGGCTGGGCCGGCCGGCCCCTCTTCCCTGCAGGCCTCCGCGACTCCCCTGGCGCGGGCCCTCCGGGGCAGCTGCGTAGCGGGCTGTGGCCTGATCCCACGCAGGTGCTGCCGCCAAGGGGCCTGTCCGGGTGCCTCAGCCCCGCACGGCTTTGCCGAGGAACTGGGCAAATGTGTCCAGGTGCGGGTGCGGCCCAACAATGTTTCGGTGAGCTCGCCTGCTGTGCAGGTGAGTGGCGGGGTGGGTGCGGCTGTGCGGGCCTGTGCGCGGGCTGAGGCGGGGGCGGCGGCGGCGGCGGGGGGGTCACCTCCTCTTCTGACTCCTCTGCCTCCCCCAGCTGACGGTGGCCATGCGCAACGCGCCGGACCTCAGCGCTGGTGTGAGCTGTGCCTTTGAGGAGGTGACGGAGAGCGCGGCCGTCGTGCTGCCCTCCGGGGAGCTGCACTGCCCCTCGCCCTCCCTCCAGGAGCTCCGCGCTCTCACCCGGGGGCATGGTCAGTGGGCTGGGGCTCTCCGGGCTGGGGGCGCTCGCCGGCCCGGGCTTGCTCACGGCCACCCCTGGGCTCGCTGCAGGGGCCACGCGCACCGTGCGGCTGCAGCTGCTCTCCAGGGAGACTGGGGTGAGGTTCGCCGGGGTCGACTTCGTCTTGTACAACTGCAGCGCGCTCCAGTCGTGAGTCCTGGCTTTTCTGCCGCCGTCCCCGCAGCTCTTCGTCCCTTGCTGGGCCGTGCGGGCCTCAGGCGGGCCCTGGCGGCCGCCTTCCTTCCGTTTCCCGCACGGCCTGTAGGAGGGTGGTCGGAGGGGCAGGCCCGGTGCTCTGCGACCTCTGAAGCCTCTCCCCGCCAGGTGCATGTCCTGCGTCGGCAGCCCTTACCCCTGCCACTGGTGTAAGTACCGTCACGTGTGTACCGGCCACCCCCACGAGTGCTCCTTCCAGGAGGGCAGGGTCCACAGCCCTGAGGTGAGGCGGGCGCCGGGCGCGAGGGGGCCGGGCTCCCCGTGGGCTGGCCTCTGGCTTCTGCCTTTGCTCGCCTGGGTTTCTCGGAGCCTCCTCGGTCCGGGCCTAGCCCAGCTGGGCCCCGGGGCGGCGCCGCCGAGCGCGTGCGGCTGATGGGCGTTCTCCCCTCAGGGCTGCCCTGAGATCCTGCCCGGCGGGGACCTCTTGATCCCAGTGGGCGTCATGCAGCCTCTTACCCTGCGGGCCAAGAACCTGCCGCAGCCGCAGTCAGGCCAGAAGAACTACGAGTGCGTGCTCCGGGTGCAGGGGCGCCAGCAGCGGGTGCCGGCCGTGCGCTTCAACAGCAGCAGCGTGCAGTGCCAGAACGCCTCGGTGCGCGCCCCCGGGGCTGCGCGCGGTTGCGCAGGGCTGCGCGGGGCTGCGCGCGCTCTGGGCTCACGCTCACGCGGCTCCCTCTCTCCCAGTACTCCTATGAAGGCGACGAGTCCGGCGACACCGAGCTGGACTTCTCTGTGGTCTGGGACGGGGATTTCCCCATCGACAAGCCTGCCACCTTCCGAGGTGAGGGGCGGGGTGGGGCCGAGGAGCTCGCCTCCTGGGGCACCGTTGCCGTGAGCTGGCCGCCCCCAGCGGTGCCCTCTGTCCGCAGCTCTCCTGTATAAGTGCTGGGCGCAGCGGCCCAGCTGCGGCCTCTGCCTCAAGGCTGACCCTCGCTTCAACTGCGGCTGGTGCGTCTCGGAGCACAGGTGCCAGCTGCGGGCGCACTGCCCAGCCCCCAAGACCAACTGGATGCACCCGAGCCAGAAGGGCACCCGCTGCAGCCACCCCCGCATTGCCCAGGTGGGCCTCCCCCGCCCCTTTCGGTCGGCCGGGCACCCGACGCGAGCCTGGGCTCACCCTGTCGCCTCTCCTCCTGCTCTGCAGATCCACCCGCTCATGGGGCCCAAGGAGGGAGGCACCCGGGTCACCATCGTGGGCGAGAACCTGGGCCTCAGCTACCGAGAGGTGGGCCTGCGGGTCGCGGGCGTGCGCTGCAACTCCATCCCCTCTGAGTACGTCAGCGCCGAGAGGTGAGCGCGGCTGTGCGGGTGCCGGGGCCCTGGGCCCTCCGCCGCGGGCCCTGACCTTCTCGGACCCCTAGGATCGTGTGTGAGATGGAGGAGTCGCTGGTGCCCAGCCCGCCGCCAGGGCCTGCGGAGCTCTGTGTGGGCGACTGTTCCGCTGACTTCCGCACGCAGTCCGAGCAGCTCTACAGCTTTGTGGTGCGTGGGCTGCCCGCCCTTTCCCCTCCCACCCCTTCCGAAGCCTGCCCCCCCCCCGCCCCGCCCCGCCCCGCCCCGTGGCCGGTGGCCGTGAGCTGCAGGGCTTGGCCGTGTCCCTCCCGCAGTCCCACGCAGGCAAGGTGGTGCTGCGGAGCTGGTACGAGAAGAACAAGCACATCTTTCCCGCCAGTCGCTGGGAGCCCTACGACCCTGAGAAGAAGTGGGACAAGTACACGGTGAGCAGCCTCCCTCCGCCCCCCCAGGGGACCCCGGCACTGCGCTGGGTAGCTTGAGCTGGGGGGAGGGGAGCCAGCCTGCCCCCCCACTTGGCTCCACTTGCCTTCTCTGTCCTCTTGTTCTCACACCAGATCCGGTGAACGTGGAGGCTCCTCCGGCTCCCTCTGTCCTCTGCCCCCTCCCGGGGTCTCCAGGACTCCAGGCGCCGCAACCGCCCCCCACCCTGTCCCCACTTCCCTCAGCTCCGACTTGACAGGGGTGAGGGAGGAGGGGGCTGGCCACCCCCTACCCCTGGTGGTGTCACTTACCACTGCTTTCTTTTATGATAAATAAATGCCCACATCAGAGTGGGAGCACCTGCATTGCGCTTTGTTTTAAACATTTGTTTAATTGAGATAAAATTCACCATTTCGATCATTTGAAAGTGTACAGTTCAGGGGTATTTAGTACATTACAGTGTTGTACAACCATCACGTCTGTCTACTTCCAGAACGTTTCTGTTGCCCCACAAGGAGACCCCGTGCCCATTAGCAGTGTCTCCTCCAGCCCCTGGTACCCCCCCTACTTTCTGTCTCTATGGATTTGCCTGTTCTGGATGTTTCACATAAATGAAATCATACAGTATTTCTGGTCTTTGTATCTGGTGAAAAAGTGTGTGTTTGGTGGGGGTGGGAGGGTCGAAGAGTAACGTCAGTCTCTGCAGCCAACCTACACTCCCCAGGGCACCTACGTGGCATCGTGGTTCTTTATGGTGAGTGGCAGGGGTGCTCCCCCTCCCCCAGGCCTTTGGGCTCCTCTTCCGGCTCCTAGCTGCCCAGTCCAAGGGCTACTGATGCACCCTTCCCAGCATCTCCTCCCAGTCCCAAGGGGGGAAATCTGGCTTGGGGGTGGGTGCTCCTGCTCCTTGCCCTCTTGCATCAGTAGCCACATCCCCCAGTTCCCTTTGGGTAAGCTGAGGCAGGCAGGTCCTGTTCTAGAATGCTGAGGAAGACAACCTGACCGCTCCCTGCTTCCATTCTTCGCCTGGCCTGAGGCAGAGCAGAGGGAACAGGGGCAACCCCTGGCTGGCAGAGAGCATCCCAGCTCTGCGTCTGGTCCCACCTCCTTGGCAAATACACAGATCTGACAGTGGGGGACTCTGCTGGGTGCAGAAGCTCCTGTGCCCTCCTCCCCCGACTGTCCCATTCAGACGCAGCATGGGGGATGCTGGCTGGCAGCTAGGAGCTCTCATTTGGCCTTCCCGGCCCGGTGTCTGGGGCAGAGCCATCTGGGGCCATTTGGAGGAGGGAGGGAGGTAGCCTAAGTAGAGCACCTTGGGGGCACAGCAGGGAGTGGGTGGCCAAGCCTGACCCTAGGTCCTGGATGTGGGGGGACAAGTCTGGGGACCTCAATGGGGCCTTTTGTTGGGCACTGGGAACCCTGGAGAGGGGATCATCTGGCCTTCTGCACCAACCCATCCTGCCCTCTTTGAAAAGCCACCAGAAGAGTAGGCTTCTCGAGGAAAGGGAGCCCCTCTCAGACAGCTTACCCAATTGAAACGGTTTCCAAGGAAACTGCCTTCGGGGCCCCACAGTTTCTGGAAAGCAGGCGCCTTAAGGCCCAATCTTGGGTCCTGGCAGGGAAGGACCTGGTTCGGAAGCACCACTAAATCTATGGAAGGTTGTGGGGGGGCAGGGAGGGAGTCTTTTGGGGGTCAGGATCCAGGGGGCAGGGGGGCACTGTAAGGGAAGGAGACCCACTTCCTTACAGCCAGGGAAGGGACGTAGCCATGGTGGGGGTGGGGTCCGAGAGAGGAGCCCCTCAGCCTAAGTAGGGGCGGCAGGTGTTCTTCCTGGCTGCTGGCGCTGGGCAGCTGGCCTCACTCTTGGCTGGCACAGGCCAGAGATCCCGTGAGGAGGGGGCTGTCTAGCTCCGGGAACCCTCTTGGGACCTTGGACCCATATGAACGTGGAGCTCGGAGAAGGTGGGCTGCAGACAGAAGTTGGGAAGCTGTTAGACTCGGAAACTACGTGAAGTCACCAAGCTCAGTGAACGGCCACTGATATTTCCAGGGACCAGCGTGTGCCAGGGTTGGGCTAGGTCCTGAGGACACGATCGAGAGAGAAAGGCCGGCCCTCCCTTGCTTGCCCAGGCCTCATTCCTGGTCTGTGGTGGGGGTGGAGGGGGGTGAGTGTGCATGTGGGTGGATATAAACAACAAATGGAAACAAAAAAATGAACAAGCAAGATAAAGAGGACTTTCTGAGGTCATGACCTGGTAGCTGACAAGGATGACAAGAAGTCAGCCATTCCAAAATGGAGAACGGGGTGTTCCAGGTGGAGGGGACAGTGAGCATGAAGATACTGGCAGGCAGGTTGGAGGTGAACAGGGCTGGAATGGACGGAAGGTGGGAGGGGAAGGAGAGGGAGGGAGGACAGGTCAGAGAGGTAGAGCCCGGGATATGAGCCAGACGGGTGGATGCTGATCTTTTCTTGCTTACCTTGAAGTTCTGCAGAGGCCGGGTTTTCACCTGGTTCACACATCAGCAAAGAAGGGTGGACATGGAGGGACGCCTGGGTGGCTCAGTTGGTTAAGCGTCTGCCTTCAGCTCAGGTTATGATCCCCGGGGCCTGGGATCGAGTCCCGCATCGGACTCCTTGCTCGGCAGGAAGCCTGCTTCTCCCTCTGCCTGCCGCTCCCCCTGCTCGTGCTTTCTCTCTCTCTCTGACAAATAAATAAAATCTTGAAGAAGAAGAAGAAGAAGGGTGGACATGGAGATGCCCTGCCTCCTGCCCAGCCCTCCCTGCCCAGTTCCCACAATGCCCCCAGCAGAGAAGCGCTTGCTTTGGTCACTTGCCAACACATCTGAGTATCCTATGCGTCTCTCCATATCTGTGCATGCAGAGCCTCCTCATTCTTTTCTTTTAAAGCAGCATGATTAATTTTCCAGACATTGGCAAATTCCTCTCCAGAGGGCCTGTCCCATTTTGCAGCCCCCCCCCCCAGCAGATGAGAGTGTCCTGCCCCCAGGGTACCGTCACTCCCCACCAGGGGACATATGCAACCTGAGATAGAACACGTGTTCTCTCAGTATAGGGTTTTATTTCATTTTTAAAGACATTCCAGAGAGAGAGAGAGAGCATGCAAGAGGTGGGGAAGGGGAGAGGGAGAGGGAGAATCCTCAAGCAGACTCCCTGCTGAGCGCAGAGCCCAACTCGGGGATTGATCCCAGGACCCTGAGATCATTACCAGAGCCGAAATCAAAAGTCAGATGCTTAACCGACTGAGCCACCCTGGCACCCCTTATTTAATTTTTAAAAAATTTTTTCAACTGAGAAAAAATTCACATGACAAAAATAACCACTAACCATTTAAAAACGTACATTTCAAAGTGGCATTTACTATGTTCACAGTGTTGTGCAACTGTCACCCCTATCTGGTGCCAGAACCTTCCCATCACCTCAAAGGGAGACCCTGTGCCCATTCAACAGTCTCTCCTCATCCCCTCCCCAGCTCCTGACAACCACTCATCCACTCTCTGTTTATGTGGAGTTGTCTCTTCTGGAAATTTCACATAAATGGAATCGAACACTTAAAGACCTATGTAGATGGAAAGACATTTCATGCTCACAGACTGGCAGACTCAGTAGTCGGGGCATGTGTATTACGTTTCTGCTGCCTTGTAACATCAGTGAGAACTCAGGGGCTTAAAACAACACTGGGTGCTTACCTGAGACTTTCTGCAGCTCACAAGTCCAGGCGTGACATCACTGCATCCTTTGCTCAGGATCTCACGAGGTTGCCATGAAGGTTGGCTAGGCTACCTTCTCATTGGAGACTTGGGGTCCTCTCCCCAGCTCACGTTGTTCTTGTAGAGGTCAGTTTCCTGTGATTGTAGGACTGAGGTCCCTGTTTTCTCATTGGCTGTCGGCCAGGGAATGCTCTCAGCTCCCAGAGACCACTTGAGATTCCTTGCCACCTGGTGCCCTCCATAGCCCTGTTCATGCTTCGAATCTCTACTTTCAGGTAGGGTCCCTTCTTAGGTAAGGGCTCACCTGATTAGGCCAGGCCCACCCAGACACTCTCCCTTTTGATGAACTCAAAGTCAGCTGATTAGTAACCTAGCCACGGGAACAATGTCCCACCATGTGCAGAGGTTCTGCTCTGCCTCCAGAGGAGGGGGTTATACAGGCTTCTATGCTAGGAGGTGGGAAGCTTGGGGCCTTCTTAGAATTGTGCCCCATGATGATGACTTTCCCTGGTGATCTATGAATTCAATTCAATCCCTGTCCAAAACCCCAGCACACTTTTTTGTAAAAATTGACAAGCTCACCCTCAAAGTATATAGACATGTGAAGGACTGAGAAATCCAAAAACAATTTTGAAAAAGAAGAGCAGAGTTGGAGGGCTCACATTACCTCATTTCAAAACTTACTATGAAGCCACAGTAATCACACTAGGGTAGGAGCCTAGGAGGATGGCACAGAATTAGGAGTCCAGAAGTAAGTCCTTACATTTATGGTTAAGAAATGATGCTGGAGCAGTCAGGTATCTGTATGGAAAAAGTAAACTTAAGCCCTGATGTCATGGGTTTGTGTCCCTAGAAAGAAATGTTGCAGTACTCCCCCAGTACCCTTGAGTGTGACCTGGTTTGGAGACAGGGTTTTTACAGATGGAATCAAGTTAAGATGAGGTTGTACTGGAGGAGAATGGGCCCTAATCCAAGATGACTGGTGTCCTAAGAAGAGAGCAGACAGACAGACATAGGCAGGGAGAAGGCCACGGGACGACAGAGACAGGGGTGGTGCGGCTACCAGCCAAGGAAGGCCAAGGCCGCCGGCCGCACCAGCAGCTGGAAGGGGCAAGGAAGGAGCGGCCCCTAGAGCCTTCGGAGGGAGCGCCGCCCTGCCGACACCTGGGCTCCTGCCTTCCGGCCTCCGGAGCAAGGAGGGGGCGGATAAATATCTCTTGTTTTAAACCCCTCAGTATGTGGGACTTTCTTAGGGCAGCCCCAAGACACTCACCTTGTTTTGACCATACAGAGAAATGAACTTGACATGAGTTATAGATCGAAAAGTAAAAGCCCAAATTGAAAAAAAAAAAATCTAATTAAAACACAGGAGAAAATCTTTGTGACCTTGGGCTAAGCAAAGTTTGGGCAGGATAAAAAAACATTAATCATAAAAGGAAAAATTAATAAATTGGACTTTATAAAAATGTAAACTTTTGCTCTTTAAAAGATACTATTATGAAAATAAAAAGACAAGCCAGGGCGCCTGGGTGGCTCAGTCGTTAAGCGTCTGCCTTCGGCTCAGGTCATGATCCCGGGGTCCTGGGATTGAGTCCCACATGGGGCTCCCTGCTCTGCAGGAAGCCTGCTTCTCCCTCTCCCACTCCCCCTGCTTGTGTTCCTGCTCTCGCTATGTCTCTCTCTGTCAAAAAAATAAATAAAATCTTTAAAAA